ATCTGCTGCATTCAACCAAAAAGCATACTAACAAATTATTCTTTTGGGGTTAAAGTTGTCTCCAAATGATATTGAAAAATGCTAAGAACTGTAAAAGCCATACATTTTTACTGCTTTTTGAGATTTTATCATCTTACTGACAAGGAGTGAAATTTGACAGCAGTGGTATGTCAGAAATAGAAAGTTCCGAAATAACAGAGAAGCAGTCAGAGTCTGATTATTTGTTTATTTTTATTTTTTTGTGAAATGCACCAAAAACAGGTGAGTTTGGGATAAGAAGACAAGAGGGCATATATTGGGTTTCAATTCAGCAAATTACATATAAACATAACATTGGAAATTAGAGGATAAACATCAAAGTAAACATTAGTTTGACACAGAAACTGCCAACCACTCTGCCTTTCATTATAACAAGGATCACTATCAATGGTAACAAGTGTAAAACAACTAGAAGAAGAAGAAGAAGCCTAGGCAGATGATTGGAAGTTTATGTTAGGTACATACATCTACATCCTCTTCTTGAATTGAATAATTCTTGAAAGTCGTCAGAGCTCCCTCTAACAGTTGCTTTGTGATAATCTCATTAAACCGCGCTACAACCTTGAAGATAGAAAATTAGATCAACAACAATCAAAGAAATATAGAAAACATAGAGAAGTCAGTACCATAAAGTAGAAAGAGCTGGAGAACAAGAAGAACTCACTCAACAACAATTAGTCAATTACATACATACAGACAGACATACAGACATACAGACATACAGACATACATACAGACATACATACATAGGGTGTGTGTGCTTTTGAGACATTGAGAGTGAAGACTGACCACTGCGAAACGAAGGCCCTGAGTTGCGGTGACGGAACCAACGAGATGGCGAACAGCCGCAGTTTGTGCAAAAGACGAACGCTGGGGGAGATGGTCCTTCCTCTCAATTGCACCTGCCCCTCAATTGTTTGATTGAAACAGAACCCAAATAGATTACATTACTTGAGTAAAAACAATAATAAGAATTAAGAATACTTCTTAAATTACTTTGTGGAGCAGAGAGAATAAAGCGAACCTCCTATGGAAGATGAAGATGAAGAAAGAGAGAGCGATTTGGGTATCTGAGACAGCTGAAGGCGTAGAATTCTGCTACCACCATGACGAGGATGAGAATGGCAATTATCAGTGAGTGGTAGGAGTGAGTTAAAACACTGGGTTGAAGCGGAGGCGGAAGCAGCAGCCATTTCAATTTTCAGATCAACAAGAATTAGGTTACCGTTCGACTGTTGAATCAATTAAGCTCTGTTCACTGGTCACTGGATTCAACTCTACTCACTGGCAGCTAGTCAGAGAGAATGAGAATAGAGTCAACTCAACTCAAATGCCTGCATAGGCTTGCCGCTTGCCTAACTTAACCTAACCTAAACTTGGACCAGGTTATGCAAAAACGCCGCGTTTCAAACCTCTTTCAATCTCCCTCCCTCTTTGTTTAATCTCAGCCATTGGATTGTATTTATGATACAAATATTTAACCCGATGGCTGCGATTATTTCAAAAAAGAGTCGAAAATAAAGCGATGAACTCTGTCTGACTCTGAGTTTGGTTTCTAAAACCCTAACCCCAAAGAAGCTGTGGCCTTTCAGACTCCGTACGTACAATGGCGTTGATGCTCAAAGTCCCAGCCAATTGCATCGTTGTTCAGCAATCTAAGCGGGCATTCTTGGGTGGAGCTGGAACCAGTAGATTGGGTGCTACTAGTACCAATCGGAAGCAAAGAGTTTCATCATCATCATCATCAGCTATCAATATGATCCCAAAGATGTCAATTTCAGCCGTTCCTAACCAACGTGATGACAAGTCTATGTCCAAGAACAAGATTGACATTCCTATCATGGTAATGCTAAATCTAGATTTGGTCCTACTCCTTTTTCCTTTTTCCTTTTTCCTTTTTCTTTTTTCTTTTTTGAGCTGAAATATATTTCATCATTTTGTATAATATATCTTTTTCTAGTAGCTACATTGCTTGCTGCTTTGATAATTTGAACGCTTGTAACTGCATATGCGAAATGCCTTTAGTTCTTCGTGTTCATTTTGTCCAACAGGTAAACGGATGTAGTGGCAAAATGGGGAAGGCAATTATCCAAGCAGCAGACTCTGCAGGACTCGGAGTGGTTCCCGTATCATTTGGCTCTGCTGAGGAATCTGGGCAAACAGTCCAAGTTGGTGCAACCGAGATTCTGGTGCATGGTCCTTCTGAAAGAGAAAGCACCCTTGCATCCCTTCTTGAGAAATATCCCAATTTGATTGTGGTCGACTTCACTGTGCCTTCTGCAGTAAATGGTAAATATCGTAGGTTTGAAACTCTATTTTGACTTTACATTGCTGCTGCAAACAGCAAATGGTAAATTTTCTAGGTGACTTTATGTCTTGATTCTTTTGGATCTTTTTTTTTTTTTTTTTTTCTGTCATATTCAGATAATGCAGAGCTATATGGCAAAGTTGGAGTTCCCTTTGTGATGGGAACAACCGGTGGAGACAGGGATCAGTTGTATAAGACTGTAGAAGACTCAAAAGTCTATGCTGTAATTTCCCCACAAATGGGAAAACAGGTGATCAGATTTTGTATCTCAATGGTTTCTAATATTGTTTACTACTTTGAGGGCTTTGCCTTCCATATCCTAATATTCGTTTTGTATGAGTAGGTTGTGGCATTTCTTGCGGCCATGGAAATTATGGCTGAGCAATTTCCTGGAGCTTTCTCAGGGTATTCCCTACAGGTGCTTCACTTTTTTCTTAGAATTTGGTACAAATGCAAAATATAGAATAAGAGATAGTCTAATTATTTGACAAAGGTCATATTTCAGTATGCTATTGACGTTCATTTCTCAGTTTGTTATATTTTTCTTTTTGTTCATAACGAGTATTTATCTTATATCCTTCCTACCTATAGCAATTGATTTTTTTTTTCTTTTCCAAATGAATTATTAATGAAGAAAACGACAACTTTCATATATCAATTAAAACTTTCATTTATTTATTTATTTTGGTATCTTTTTATTCATGGTAAATACGTTTGTCCAGTAGAACTCCAGTAGTTAGTGTTCATGTTCATGTTTTTTTCAGTGGTACGTTTTTCTGTTTTGGGCTTCTGTGTGCTTATGCCTTCCTGCGAGTTGCATAAACTAATCTTGCAACTGTGTGCACTTTATTTATCATTAATATTTTTCAAAACGGCAGAATGTTATAAATTTTCAAGGTGCTTGTTTTCTATTTGTTCTATTCATATTGGATGATGTGGCTGATTCATCTTTTTAAAATTTTAGGTGATGGAATCCCATCAATCAAGTAAAGTTGACACATCTGGAACTGCTAAGGCTGTTATTTCTTGCTTCCAGAAGTTGGGCGTCTGCTTTGATATGGAACAGGCATGCTAAGGATACCTGGTTAATTATAGCTTTGGATAATTAGAAATGGTTAACTGCAGCATCTCTTTTCCTCGCCCTTTTCCCCTGCTTCCCTCCTTTTTTATGTGTCTATTAGAAACTATTCAATGGGTTCAGTCCCCGTACATGAAGCACCAAACAAACTTAGAGAGTTTTCTTATCATGCCTCATCTTTTAATATTTCTTCTTCAATCTTTTGACAATTTGTCAGATCCAATTGATCCGGGATCCCCAGCAACAGATAGAGATGGTGGGAGTTCCAGAGGAGCATTTGTCTGGTCATGCATTTCATATGTATCATCTGACTTCACCTGATCAAACGTAATGAGAAATATCCTCGCTCTCTCTGTCTCAATTTATTCTGCGTATGTAGTTTTAGTTTTATTGTGTTGACTTAATTTTCCCCTCTGCAGAGTTTCTTTTGAGTTTCAGCATAATGTTTGTGGTAGATCAATATATGCAGAGGGTACAGTTGATGCTGTAATTTTCCTTGCTAAGAAGGTGATGAAGCTTTTCCATCCCTCTTTTGCTTTACTACTTGTTACAGTGCTTATGATGGTTTATAAATCAAAGTATCCTTGGTGTAATTCAGCTGTCATTGCCATCTGTTCGCATTTACCTTTTTTCTGTAACATCTCATTGTTCTAGAATAATGAAATTTCAGTCTTAGAAAGTATAATATGTTAAGAACTAATTTTATTTCTGGGAAAAAGATTGGTTAAATTCAGATTCAAATTATCCCATCTGATTGGAATAGTGATCAATTATTTGGCAGGAATATCTTTAACAAACATTTATTGTAATCATAGGACCATGCACTCCTTCACTTTCTGATATGAAATATTAATGCAGGTTCATTCAGGGGCAGACAAGCGGATATACAATATGATGGATGTCCTGCGAGAGGGTAATATGCGATCATAGTTGACTATGTACGAAGGGTGTTGTCTGTATTAGTGTATTAATTAGCTTAGAATAATTAGATTATGGTTTAGGAAGATAGGGACATAAGTTTTGGACTAGTAGTTTCAAATATTTCTTTTTTTCCTGTTATTACTTCCCTTGCTGTTTGTGTTTGGGAAAACTTTGGGAGCTTGAAAATTTTGTAGTTTGTTGAAGGAAATACAAATATACAAGTATTTCAGTTAGAAGTAATATTTGTTAGAGATGCAGCTTATATTGGCCTTTGTAGCTGGATTGGGTGTGGGATGAATCATGAATGCTTCGGCATGCTTCAATTGGCATTCTTGCCTTGCTTTGGTTTGTGAAGCTTGGAAAACTGCTGGGCATATATTAGCTGTTTAGCTAAGCCGTGAGAGGTTTAAGGTGGACATTTCTTTCTTGTTCCTGCAATTTGCAAACAGGTGGGTGTTTTAGTTGGAGCTCAGACCAACGGCCCAACCCAACCCAAACCAACGGCCCTAATTCTTGCGTAATTAGTAGTTTTTGGGTCCAAGGAGTCCATCTCGTCAAACGCTGTAAAGTTGTCGTCAAATAACACGTGGACTTCCAAAAACAAAATATGTAAACTTAAGTATCGAGCAATAGAAGTGCTTTTCCAACGGACGACGGCAGAGAGAGAGAGAGAGAGAGAGAGAATGGAAGGCAGGGAAGACTTGAAGTCGATATTAGAGTATTTGCCGGTGGTGTTGCGGACATGGAGTCTGTTCTGGCCGTCCCAAGTGTTGGAGGCTCTCAAGGCGTTGGCGAGAGGTCCTGAGCACAGTGGGGTCCATTCTGGGGAGCTGCTATTCTCAGCCATTTCGGACCTCAGGCGCTCTCTTTCTCTCTCCTCTCACCCTTTGCCTCTTTCCGCCCCACACGGCTACGCCCTCTTCTTCGACGAGGTCATCCACCATTCACTCAATTTTGTACCCTTTTTTCCTTTTTCTTTTTTCTTCTTTTCAATATTTACTTTTTGCAAGTATCCGATAATCGTTTAAATTAAATGTTTTTCGTTGAGTTGAGTTGTGACTTTTCATTGAATTATAGAAATAGAATAGAATTGCAATATAGTCTGTCTGTGTATAGAAGATGTTGGTAGCGTAGGTATACATGATATCATCATCATCAGTTAAAGCAAGGCATTAAGAGTTAAAACGGTATTATCCATTCCATAGCATCTGAATGAAAAGTGTTAGTGCAGCTCATGTCTAGGGCTGAAGCAAGGAAATGGTTTGGAGAGGTTGTCCCGGCATTGGCAAATTTGCTTTTGCGGTTGCCCTCCCTGTTAGAATTGCACTATCAAAACGCCGACGCCCTTATTAATGGAGGCAGAGATGGAGTCAAAACTGGTCTTCGTCTACTGCATTCACAAGAAGCAGGAATCGTGTTCCTCAGCCAGGTATCTATATCCTTCATGAATCTTTGCTTTTTTATCTTTCGCTCCCATATGCCCGGACAACCATAACCGCTCGCACACATCACAGCATGGTTTGATTCAAAACTTATACCAAGAGCCATCGGTACTTAAAATTTTCTCTTTTTTAAAAAAATGTCATACAACCTGGTGCGGCAGAAACTGAACATGCATAGTAAAATGAGTAGCATTTGCTATTGGAATAAGGAAAAAAAAAAAAAGAATGTAACAGAACTTCTGAAAAATTGTAAATTATTTATTTATTTAATTGTTATGCAGATATTTCATGTCCGATCTCTGCCAATGAAAAGGTTTATCTTCTATATAGATCTATACTCACATTTGAGTTTAAGTGGTCTTATCTAGGGAAAATCAAGTGATTATTTTTTTTTTCATTATTTCGGAGACTAATTCAAATATCTCTTATGATTTGGTGGTATGTTTGACGCTTGTTTTCTGTCATATGCTAGAAACTAGTTCTGAATACTTCTTTCTTTACTTTGTTAGAACTTCTTTTATTTGCGGTATTACTTTGCTGATTATTGTCTATGTTCTTTTCAGGAACTAATTAGTGCTCTTCTTGGGTGCTCTTTATTTTGTTTGTTCCCAATCAATAATAGAGGTGCCAAACATCTCCCAACGATCAACTTCGACCATTTGTTTACGTATGAGACCCTTGCTTTCTCATGTGTCACTTGTATCCTTTATTCATTTTGTCTATAAATACTGGGTTTGGGGTTTCCAATTTTATGCTAGATATCTCACCATAATATTTTAAGAGATATCCTGTCACCCATTTCGTATACAGCATCACTAGATATCTACTTCTGTTATTTTACTTAAATATACTTACCACTTGAAGTGTATTTTCAGGACTTTATATGACAGTTATAATGAAAAACAGGAGAATAAGATAAGGTGTATTATACACTATTTTGAAAGGATAAGTTTCCATATGCCTAAGGGTTATGTCTCATTTGAGCGGAAAGTACTTCCTCTGGAACATGGTCCTCTAAGCATTTCTTACCCCAAGGCTAGTTTCTGGAGCAATTCAGCCATTCCTCTCTGCCGTTTTGAGGTATTACATGACTAGTTGTGTTACATAATAAGCCTCTAGTTACATGCAGATGAATTGGTTTCCCCTTTTTATTTTCCTTATTTTGTTTAGCAATAGAAAATAACTTGTTAACTAGTCTTTTCATATCATTCTAGGTTCACAGTTCAGGCTTGATAGAAAATCAATCAAGTGGAGCTCTTGAAGTCGACTTTGCAAACAAGTATATAGGAGGTGGTGCTCTTCATAGGGGCTGTGTACAGGTGTGATTCATTATATATTTTACCTACGTTTGCATTCTGGCTATTTTAAACTATATTTTTATTTGTTTTACCTTTTCTTGAATCACGCAGGCCATGATCTAATTGCAGAAGCACCTAATTTTATTTGTTATTATCGTCTCACGTAGGAAGAGATCCGTTTCATGATCAATCCTGAATTAATTGCTGGCATGCTGTTCATGCCTTCCATGGCAGATAATGAGGCTATAGAAATTATTGGTGCAGAAAGGTTTTCAAATTATACAGGGTGAGTACTGATAGCCTATTGTTTGCTTATTTCTTTGTATTAGAAAATATTAATGTATATATTTTTCTTAGAGAAGTTGAGCATATGTTGTTCATACATGCATGTGTAGAAACATATAATGACTCAAATTTGGTTCTTTCTTAAACTTGATGTATGCATTAATTCTATGAGATGGCAGGGGATTTTCTAAGTTTAACTTAAATATCTTAACTTCACTTATTTAACTTGGTTACTATTGCTATTGATTTCCGAATGTGTTACCATCTTTTTAAGTGGTGTAGGTATGCTTCTTCCTTTCGTTTTTCTGGTGACTATCTGGACAAAAGGGATACAGACTCTCTTAGAAGACGTAAAATCAGAATTATTGCAATAGATGCGTTATGCAGCCCAGGGATGAGACAGTACGAACAAAAGTTACTCCTCCGGTATGTATATTTTACTTCAGTGCACACATATTACTAGAAACATGTGGAATTCAATGGAGAATAAGACAATATAATTCAAACTACATAGAATGGGGTTTCCATGCAGTTTTGATCTTTTGAATAGTCTTACTTCCAGAACAGAAATCCATGATCTATCTAGTCAAAGACTTTTTCATTGTTTTATTATAAATTGGAAAATTGGATTTATGTCCAATGGATCACACCCACCAAGAAAAAGTATTTTGTTTTGGTTCGACGCGTAATCAATATGTTCCCTGTAACTTCCAGGAAGGCTTCAAGCATAAACTGAAATTCTCATTAAATCCAAATTACTATTATTGGAAACTCTTCACAGGAACAGAGTAGCACACCTAAACCGTGGTTTTCTTTTTTTGTTCTAATTCCAAATCCTTGCCTTAAATTTCTCAGTGATGTTTGAATATGTTGGATCATTATCCCAATTGTGTGGATTTCAGATCCTTCATATAACATTTTCTTAATCCGAAATTTTATCTCTCCAACTTGTTGGTTCCTACAGGGAGAATAATAAGGCATTCTGTGGTTTTTTTCATCAATCAAAATATCAGCAGTACAAGAGATTGTTTCGAGAGAGTGGGTGTTCTGGAATTCAGCCTCATTCAGATGTTAAAGACTCCAATGACGTATACAGTAATAATCTTTTGGTATGAGTTTTCTATCAGTTTCATCTTGGTTTGTGCGTGTGTGTTAGTTAGGTGATGCTCTACATTTAGAAATGATATTGCATTACTAACTTTAGCTGAGTTCTTAATGTAGAATTTTTTTTGAAGTTTATGTTTGGTTTAGCAGTGTCCAAACTTGCTCTTTCCACTTTGAAATTTGTTTGTTTTGAATTTTTACATTTGCTTTTCTATAGAGTCATGGAGCTAGCATAACTTCTGTTGAAACGTGTGGAGGAAAATCTGTACACAAAGTGATCAGAGATTCTGAGGAGATCCTGTCTCTTGATAATGAGGATGATGTTGGGATTGCAACTGGGAATTGGGGATGTGGTGCTTTTGGAGGAGACCCTGAAGTGAAGACCATAATTCAGTGGCTTGCTGCCTCTCAGGTAGTTTTATCTTAAGCCTTCAAAAAGCAATTAAATGGGATTCTGTGTCATCTTTAGCTTACTCAGACAATTTTCGCTAGGATTCTATGTCTGTGTGTAAATAAATATAACAAAGGATCAGTGACACAAAATGACTATTATCTGGGTGCATTTGTTTCAGGCACTAAGACCTTTCATTTCGTACTACACATTTGGCATGAAGGCATTGCAAAACCTAGACCAGGTATGTAATTTTCATTGGCTCCACACCCAACTCGTGCTAAGCCTCTATTCCTATGTATAGCTTTTTTATTTTTTATTTTTATTAATTTTTTCACTTTGTCCGGAGTAGGTAACTCAATGGATACTGTCACATGAATGGACAGTTGGTGATCTCTGGAATTTGCTGGTGGAGTACTCATTGCAGAGATTGAAGGGAGAGACTAATGATGGATTCTTTACTTGGCTCCTTCCATCTCTACTCAACCATGATACTGAGATGTTGGATTTACCTATAATGTCTTAAAACTTGCTGCTTGTATTGGCTTGTTGATCTAGTTATTTATGTAGAACATTGCATTTTTGGCTTTTTACTTTTGTGGTGGTTGCCTGGTTTCCTAGTTGTTGATATGCATACTGCCTTTCTTTCTTTGCATTTTAGGTAGGCTGTGACAGATCGTTATGGTGAATGCATCGTAATGACTAATGAGGTTGGGTGAGTTTGGCGAAAGGTATAGAAGGCTTTGTTGCATATGAGCTGTCACCCCTAGTCAAGAACGTAATAGGACGTCTCCCCATTGTTTCATAGAGACATAGAGGGAGACGATAAGAATTAAATCAATATAAAATGGTAAAGATGGGACACAGAGAAAAAAATGTGGTATGATTCGTGGTAAGAAATAAAATGGCTAGTAGTTTAAGTGATTAAAAGTAGCAATATGATCAATAAATGTGATACCAATAGCACCACTCTTAAAATTATACTAAAAACTTTAGGGAGTTTCACTAAAATACCAAAAATGGGGGCTGAAATTATAAAAATACCCAACACCCAAAACACTTTATAAACATACCCAAAACTCATCATTACACACACTCAAAACCCATTTATAAACATACCCAAAACCCATCATTACACACATACCCAAAATCCATTTTGGGTATGTTTCTATATTTAAATAGTGCTTGGGTATTTTTATAAATACATGTCTAGGATTGGGTATTTTTATAAATATCTAAAAACTTTATTGATATTTTTTTTTGTTCTAATGATTGATTCTTATAAATGCTAAGGTGAAGGTTAACTATGGTTAGTCAATAAGAGTATCTACAATCATGCTCCCTATGTTCTAGTTAAAATTTGACTAAAAACACACAAAAGTTATTTTAGGAGCTATCTATAAAATTTGAACTCCAATTATGCTCTCTAATTTAGGAAGTCATAAATACTGAAGTTATTTTTTAATTCAATATGATTGGTTCATTTCTATAAAAAAAAAATATATATAAAAAAATAGTTAGTATTAATTAAAAGTTTAAACTATGCATACAACGAAGCACTATAGGTAGCTACTAAGAGCATCCACAATGGACTCTCTAAATCATCTCCTTAGACAAATTTTAGGGAGGAATTGAAAAAATACAACTCCAACCATGCTCCCTATCCACCTCCTAAAATAGGGAGATCTCTAGGAGCTCCTAAATCTGAGGAGAGAGAAATGACTCTTAGTGACTACCTATAATTTAATACTGCTTTATTTAATGAGTATTTCAAATCTTTAATTAATGCTAACTATTTTTTATATTATTTTTTTAATAGAAAATGGACCAATTAAAAAAGAGTTATAGCATTTATGACTCCCTAAACTAGAGAGCATGATTGGAGTTTAAATTTTCTAGAGAACTCCTAAGATAACTTTTATATGTTTTTAGCTAAAATTTAACTAAAAAATAGAGAGTATGATTGTGGATGCTCTAAGAGTCCTTTCTCTCTCTTTAGATTTAGGAGCTCTTAGAGGTCTCCCTATTTTAGGAGGTGGATAGGGAGCATGGTTGAAGTTGTATTTTTCCAATTCCTCCTTAAAATTTGTTTAAGAAGGTGATTTAAGGAAGCCATTATAGATCTTCTAAGGCATGTGTTATGCTTTAATAATGGTTATAGTCAACACCTCGAATTAAGGTGGTAAGAAAAATGTGGAGGCCCAAAGTGGCGGTAGGAATTAAAAACAAGTAGGAAGAGGACCTAAACCCAAACTGTCGGAAAAGTCGAAAGCGGAGGCCCAAATAAAGTTTGCAGCTCATCTCATGGGCTATTTTATTTTAAACATCCATCTTCACCGCTCTCTTTTCCGACGGAGCTTTCTTCCCCTTTGGTTAACAGTAACCATCCACGTTACCTTATCTGATTTAACATTTACGGGCACTGCTTTGGCATATGGGGTTTTAGGCTCTTAGTTGCTGCTGGGCTGGGGTTTGGTTTCTGATGCCAAGCTCGTCTCATCTGTGTCAAAATAAGAAAGAAAGAAGACGAAGGAACATCATCATACACTTACCAGGTTAGTCAGCTTTTTCTTGTTATTTTTCTTCTTCAATTCCCTTTCTTACAGAGATGGAATGAATTGGATTGGATATGTACCATGTAAATTGTAATGGAGACGACTGACTGAGGACAGAAGAGAGAACTCTCTGAATGAATTAAACTTGTGTTTTGTCTGCCGTATAAGTATATGCATTTTGATTCTCTAGCTGCCATTTACTGTGAACCATTACATTACTAGTTACTAGTTACAAAATGTTTGCCTTTTCAGATATCTGCAAACTGATTGTGTGTTGAAATGGCTCTACAACATACCCTGAGGCTTCCATATCTCTTCTCATCACCAAAACAGAACAAATTCATAGTACCCCTTTCATTAGCTTCTTTAGGTTCTCAGTCTCAAGACATTCGAGCTAATGAAAACAGAATATGGATGAAGAACACCAGTGTACCAACACATGGTGGTGGTAGCTCCGAAGTAACTAGATTGTATGCTTCTAAAACTGTTGAGAAGGTCGGCTCCGATGAAGAAAAGGGAGAGCCGTTTAATGACTCTGATGAGGAGGACGAACCTTGTTTAGGTGACAAAGATGATCCCTATTTGATGGGTTCTGAAGAGAGACGCGAGTGGAGAAACAAAATTAGACAAGTTTTAGATACCAACCCTGATGTTGAAGAGGAGTTAGACCCTATTGAAAGGACGAAGAAGGTGCAACAACTTCTGGCCAATTATCCTCTTGTTGTGGAGGAGGATGATCCTGAATGGCCTGACGATGCGGATGGGCGGGGTTTCAAGTTGGATCAATTCTTTGACAAGATTACTATCAAGAATAATACGGCAAGAAAGGATGACAATGATAATGACGATAGCGACAATGAAATAGTGTGGCAGGATGATAATTACATTCGCCCCATTAAAGATGTAGTAACTGCAGAATGGGAAGAGACTGTTTTCAAGGACATCAGCCCTTTAATCATTCTTGTACATAATCGCTATAAAAGGTTTGCTTTTCCTTTTTCTTCTTCTTTTTTATTTATTTCTTGCTATGTTACCTTGTCCTTGTTAAGATTTATGATTTCAGCACCTTGTTTCCAAATTATAGTTCTTTGTTACGAAGTTAGGATATTCAAAGAGGCCTCCAACCAACCAACGGTTGTTGATATCATCTGACAGTTCCAATCCTGGACACTGCCCAATTTGGAACTCTTTCATGACACTGTATTTATGTTGTATTTGCTATGAGAAAATTGTTATATCATATTTTTCTTATTTGAAAATTTTCCTTCTTCAGACCAAAAGAAAATGAAAAGATTCGGAATGAACTGGAGAAGGCTGTACACATCATATGGAACTGCAAGCTACCTTCACCAAGAGTAAGGCTACAGCCTACCGTATGCTTTCTTTAGTACCTTTCACCCCCTTTATTGGTCATTATTGCTAATATTTGTTTTTCATATTTAACAGTGTATTGCAGTTGATGCTGTTACTGAGCATGATTTGGTATCTGCTCTCCAAGTGTCTGTCTTCCCTGAGATCATCTTTACTAAGGCTGGGAAGATTTTATATCGTGAGAAAGGTAATTTTTATTTAGAGAATGTGCATCTGATTTTTGCTTTTGATTTGCAGCATGTTTTCAGCTCCTTTTTTTTAAAAAATCTGTTCAGCAATTCGAAGTGGAGATGAGTTGTCAAAAGTGATGGCCTTCTTTTACTATGGAGCGGCCAGACCACCTTGCTTGAATGGCATTGGAGATAGGCAGGAACCGATACCATATGTCTCTGCCAATGCCCAACCATGATATTGTGATGAATAGTTTGTACTTTGAGTGGGGTTGGTGCTAAACTGTAATATTCCAGGGTTGTTGGTAAATTCTTCCTCCTAACAGTTATTAAGGCTAAGCCACATAGTTTGGAACTTCTATAATATTTTATTACAGGAAATAGCATTGTGTGTCAATATATCTCACATATTACAAATTCATATTTAGTCATACACCACAAATTTAAGGATTTGGACCCTAATACCCTGTGATGGAAATGATGTAGTTTTGCTATGAGTATAGCAATCATTATTTTTGAATTGTTAGAGCTTTGAGTTTAGGCTCTTTTAAAACATAATTCATCACTCATTGTGAACACCGCAACAACAGAAGGCTTTGTGGTAATGAAAGCGGAAGGCAAACAGCTGGTACGGGTTTGAGCCATCAAACTTGCACTCGGCCACACCTACAGTTCGTTTCTTTGTGTTGCCTCCAAATACAGTGAGGCATTTTCCTGTACTGCGAGAGACCCAGAAGCGGAACTCGCGGTGATTTAGTTTCTTGGGTGGATTAATTGATTTCCAGTCAGCCTCTGCCAAGTTTTTTAGCGAGCTCAACAACTGAAGACTAACCTTGCCATGCTTGTCCACAGTGAGGTAAGTTTGTCCACCTGAACATTTGTCCATGTAGTTGCTAAACCTGGGGAGCGCACAACGAAAAAGAGCATATGCTTAATGGACTTTTCAGTCGTTTGGTATAGTATTACAGCCTGAGATCAAATCACTTCCATTAGGTATGGGAATATACAGAGAAAAGAAAGTGCTACCAGGTTGAGAGCCTCGTTGAGGCATTAGGTAATCGTTTGTCTATATATTATAATCCCATGCTCTTCTTTTGTTCAATTTTTTTTTGGCCTTAGTTTCAGAGAACACATTAAGGTCAAAAATAGGATCACTCACCTGTGATAACCAGAAGCTGAACCAGAAGTAGATTTCCAGCCAAAATAAGCATTTAGTTTTGCTGATTGGCCACCTTTGATATCTGGCACTGAGTAAATTCCTTTGTCATTCAAGTCCACATAGTCAGACTGTAAAGCACCAGCAATAAGAGTGTCATCAAATGCTGTCATATGGGGGTAGGCTTCACTTGCAGGGCATTTACTTGAATCACATTTGGAGCACTGGCTGCAAAGCCGCTTACTCTTCAAATCTGGGGCATCATTTGCTGCATAGGCATTAGGTAATACGAGGACGAGAAGCAGGCAGAGAGAAAGGCAATGCCAATGCCTATCCATGCCCATGCTTGTAGGCTTGTAGGCTTGTAACTTGTGTTACTTGCCTCCCTTTCTCTCACTCTCTATCTCTCTATCTCTCTATCTCTCTATAAATAAGAATTGTTGGTAATTCCTTAGAAGAGGTTGACATGGTTATATACGCTTTCTTGTTCTTGATGTTATCAGATCCCTTTGTATTTAATATGATTACTGGAATTTAACTTGCGGATTCCTTATGTTGTCAAGACAATAGCTGGTGATAGGTTGGCCTTTTTTTCTTAGTGGTCGTTGTGAAAACTGGACACCAAGTTTTGTTTGCTTTCCTTCTTCTGTTTGCACCCTGATTTTCTCCAAAAGAAGGAAAGTTGGGCGCAAATGAAATTATATATCTTCACAGTAGATTCTTTTATTTCTTTTCCCATCCCCATTAGTGAATATATATATATAGATTGGGCAAATGGGGTGGCCGGCTGATCAATCTCAATCTCATTCTCATTCTCATGGCAGGCTCAATAATTTAATGACATAAATTAACCTGTTAACATTGTTTGACATTTTACTCTGTCCAAGAAAAGATAAGAGCGTTAGGACATACACACGCATACGATGCTTTCCCATGATCGGCCTATTAGACCTCCGCACCCCTGCGACTGACTTTTTGCAAGAGTGCTTTGATGTTCTGTTAGCCATATTTGGGCTGAACTTTGCATTTGTTAAAAACAACAAGATACTTGGAGTCTTTTTATGATACGTATTACATACATAATTTATAATAGTAATTGTTCTATATATATACGTATCATGTAATTGACTGTGTAAAATAAGACTTTTAATTAGTTTTATTTTCTTTTTGTCTCACTTTACAAATGCAATTTCTAATAGCACCCGCTCCTCTAATAAAATAAAAATAACGGAGAAGTGCGTAATGATTAGTTTGGAGTGTCTATATTAGCTCCCTTAAAATATGATAAATTTATTTATTTATTTTTGTAGAGTCTTACATCTTGTCTTTTTGACATATATGATATAATTCACCTCTTATTTATCCATACCTCCTACTTATATTTTTGGTGCTTGTGTCATTTTAGTGTTCCATTTGATTCATTTAGCAATCCCCAAGTTTATTGAAGAAAAAAAGATACATCTTGGAATGACAATCTAATATCATTGCCTTGCCTCCTTTAATCAATCAAAGTTTTGATAATAAGTTGATGATTATGAATGTGTATTCCATCCTCCAACTCCCATTCCTACCAACCAGTAAGACAAGTTTATTCTCAAGTATATTCTCCTGTAAGGGAGTAAGGGAATGATACTGGGCATATTCCTTTTTATATATATAACATAATAAAAATTCGTGTATGGTATGATTATATGATATGGTATCTGACTTGGAATCCACTGAAAGCTCAAAGTTGAGGGACGAAGTGTAAAATACAGTTGCAGGAGCAGTGAATATGTTTGTTGATGGTCATCTACTTATTCTGCTTCAATATTTTTGGTACAATTAATATATGACATTATGATTAGATGACCATCAACAAACACATTCATGATATATCTATATGCATGCAATGCAATCTCAGATCTCAGATCTCTGATCTCAGATCTCTGTCTGTCTGTCTCGCCATCATCTCATTTGCTGCTCATCCATCCAACTATGCTTTTGGTGCATAGCCTGTAGCTCATGAAATCAGACTAGCTCCTTCTCTCAGTCTCAGAGTTTGTTTAAGTTTTGGATGAATCAATTCATTTCTTTCTTCTTATATAAATTCCTGCTGCTTTTTTTCTTTTTCTTTTTCTTTTTCCTTCCAATAGATTACAAGGATTAATACATAATTCCAAAACTCTGTTGTTTTTGTTTTTCCTTCTCTCAACAACAAAACCTTTGATCTGCATTCGACCATTGACTGACCAAAGTTTGCCAATTTCCAGTTTCTAGACTCATATGAAACGAGTTTAATTTGTATACTATGGATTAATGTTCCATCATCATAATTGATGACCGACCGGGCTTCATCAATAATTAATTAATTAATTAATTTTTGTGATCAAGTGATCAGCTGTGTAAGACTGGAATATCAATCACATGCATGGTGCCATGGTGCCATGGTGGTATGAATATTGCAGACATTTAAGTTAGAAATAAAATACAAAATCCTAATTAAGGCCAGCATCACAACATTTCTTATAGATTTGCATTTGGCAGATGGAGAAATTATGAAAGCAGAGAAACAGAGGCAATGGAGGAACAGAGTGCAGAGGTATTCATTACAACATTAAGTTAACTAAGCTTGATAATCAAATTATTATCTATTAATTCTAGTGCAGGCAGGTGGTATACGTTGTTAATCAGCTCTTAGCTAGGCACCTCACCACAAGTCATGCATGAGAAGATTCCTCGATGGCTCCGAAACCGGACAAGTTGCTTTGGAGGAGCAGAAACAGAAACAGAAACAGATTTGTGTCGTCGGTGTTGAATTACTTGACCGTTGATTATGTTGTTTGTGGACGATGATGACTTGTGCTCCAGGGGGGCAGATACTGTAGAAAAGCCACCATTGTTGTTTACATTAAATATACGACGATGATGATCATGAGGAGTTGAAGAAGAAGCAGCAGGAGGAGGTGGTGGCACATATACGTAATTAGTTTGATTAGGATCAATGTAGAAGTCGGCGATGTTGTAATTAGTTTGAGCTGCTGATGCTGATGCTGATGATGATAATGATGATGAGAGGCTGCTGTATTGGCGGCGAGTTCTGTTCCTCTTCATTGCCTTGTACACCATTGGAATCAGACCTTCCATTGATTGATCTTAATTAATGATGAAGATATATTACCAAGCAGAGCAGCAAGAATTTGCAATATATACATAAATATATATATATATATATATATATATATATATATATATATATATATATATATATATATTGAACAAGGAAGAAAAAGTTCTTCTACTATTCTATTATAAATGAAAGTCTACCCTTGCCAGCCACCCAGTCTTTTTGTTCTACTCGTTGGTTGGTTTGGTCTTTATTGGTCATTTGGTTAGTTTTTGACATGCATCATTTCATCAGCCATCATTCAACTGCATCATCAAATTTATATATATATATATTCATATTATATTCTTTTCTTGTACTAACAAGGGACATCAACACACACACCATTGGAATGGAATGGAATGCAAGTCCAACACGCCATTTTTATTTTTGACTTTAACTTACAGGGAAACTAATCAAATGCCGCCCCCTACCTCCGCCCGGCCAACTAATAATATCATCCAATCCAATCCAATCCAATTCAAAGTCTAATAGTGTGACTCAGCATATGCTAAATCAACCTTGAAATTCGATTAAATAAGAAACACATTACGCCCGCTTCATCATCGTCCTCATCTTCTTGTTTATTTTTGGGTTTTATCTAAGTATAAATGAAATAAAGAATTGCAATTAAGAAGCATATCTGGTTTTTGCTTACTTGGTCAAGCTTTTCAAAGGTTTGTCCAACCATTTGGCATATGACATTTGAAATTTGGCCCATGGCCATGTCAAATTAAAATTCAAAGCTTATCTACTTGCCCAGTTCCTCCGACCTCTGCCAATGATCGCCAGTTAGATTTCTTATCTCGATGGATCCTTTATCAAAATCTATCAGCAACTGCAAGAAAGAGACACAAACTTAAAAACTCAGTCACACACACGAGCTTATCAACTTTCTAGCTGAGCTAGTCCACTATACTATTACTGTCCATCCATGCCCATGTGACATTCCCTCTACTCTAATCACTTCACCTGTTTATGTAATGATCATAATAATTAATAAGTTCGATTAATTCTAGCCTAAGTCAAAATTAATCATCCTTCGCGCATATAGTATATACCAATTACCAAATATAGCAGGCAGCAGCAACCGTACGTCTTAAATTCATGTTGAGTGAAGCAGCTGAACAGAGTCGGCAATGCATGGTTGGTGGAATGAATATTTGACAAAGTGGTGTCTCTTATCTTCTCTTGGCCTCCTCGTTCACCTAATCCTCTTGGAAAATTTCTATGAGCTTCAAATCATTAATATACAAAACTATGAGCTACAAAATGAATACTACTAGGCCAATGGGTGGTTTGGCAGCATCTTTCCCCTCAACTGGCACCCGGGTTCGGAACTCCTTATGTAACCAAAAATAATAATGCATAGTATACTATTAGGAAGATTACTAGTTAACATCGTCTCTTCCTAAATGCATTAACATCGTTGTTCAAGTTACCCTTTTCTTTTTTCACTTTAGAAAAAGGGAATTTGACCCTCCAAGTGCTTATTAATGTTAGGCGTCTACTTTTGTTTTTTTCTTTCATTTTTCTCATTTAATCTTGTTCATGGCATTAACTAATCTATTCCCAACTAATGATCTATAAAATGTCCAATCTCCACCTAAAATATTTATATATTCTTCCAATTTGCGATTTGTTATTCTAAACAGAGTTTTCATCCAACATTCTAGGGGTAGGTTAACTTTCAATCCGCATTTGAGGTATCCAATCCATGCTCACCTACCGCTTATTACTGCCAAATGAATAATGATGTGGGTAAATTCGTTCACATGACAACGGAGATAGAAGTTCCTTGTTCCTTTCCTTGACCGACTGCTGAAGAGTTCATGTAACAATTCTTAAGTTTCCTATAAAACTTACAAATGCATTTCATGTAAAATATCTCAATTGAATGGGAATTTATATGATACACAACTGAAACTAAACTATGGAAAGAATAGGATACAACAGTGGTCCTTTAACCGGGTGAAAAAAAAAACCACTTTGGATCAGAGATTGCCATACTTGCTCTAATATGATTGCAAGACTAACTAGTTATACATGGAACAACTCGTTCTTGTAGCACAGAGTCCAATCTGAATCCCCTGAAGCAAGCAGGCCACCTCCATCAGTGCTTATGGACTCAGCACACACGCATGATGACTGAGAAGGAAAGCCTTCTTCAACTTTCCCCGCTCCTGCTTCATCATCCAACAGTTCACCGGACCGAGAATTATAACTTAACATCTGATCTTTCCCAACATTGATATTGAGTTCAGGACTCTGACAAGTTTTTTTTAAGCGATCACTGCTGCAGCCATTGATATCTTCCTCTTCGTCTGACAAACATCTGCAGCAATCATTTTCATCCATATCGTAGATACGACTCACTAACCCTTCTCTCCATGATATCCTCATCTCGGATTGTGACACATTTTCTGGTGTAGAGTTGGAAAGCCAGTAAGCCCGATCATCCAAAACTTTCTGAAATCGACTGATTGAATTGCAAGTTGTAGTTAGACAGTCAAACTGGAAACTTGAATCAATCTGATCCTCAATTAATACATTACCGTTTGGGGACAAGCTTGCCATCCGAATAGCTTCAGCCACTGAACCGAGTTCAGAATCAAAGTAGTGTTTCCTTTGATTGTCCATACTTGAGTGTGATTGAGGAGTACGAATAACATTTTCACTACCCAGTGAAACCATAGAGAATGGAGAATTATCGCAGCCATAATCATAACGGTATTTTCTTTCGTCTTTCAAGGTTAGAGCCTCGCAACCAGGTGTGCAAGGGGGAGACGACAAAACAGGATCGGTATTTAAGGGCTCTAACACTTCTTGATAGCTTGGAGAAATTGAAGTACTCCTCCGGCTACAGTTAGTAGTACTTCCCATATTAGTATTGTTACATACATCTAAAGAAAATCCATGATGACCTGAGGTTGAAAATGGAGAATAAAGATTGACAGACTCTACAGAATTCTGAAAACTATTTTCAGAATGCTCCTTGTGATCCTCATCCTCCTCATTACACGGTGATAACAGCCAATGCATTGAAGCTTCAGTAGGTAAAGGAACCATAGAAGCATCAAGATTGCCAAAAACTCCTTTTCCAGTTTCATCATCATCACCATCGTCATCATCATCCTCAAAACTGCCTAAAGCCTTCCCTTTACTGAAACCTGAATCATTCTCTCCTACATTGAGAATTCCTCTAGGTCTGCACTTCCTCTTGTCAGTGATCCCAGAAAGAACATGGCCAGTAGCATAACAAGCACGTGTGGCTGTTGACACCGCAGACGATCCACATTGTATCTCTGGAGATACAGAGGCCTGAACTGGTGGAGTTCTACTATTACTTTTGCTAGAATTCTCTTGCAAATCTTCATCCTTAACAGTTTTGGAGTCCAAACCCAACCCTGTCACTATCTTACTCAAAGGTGTAAAATTTTCATCAATACCACATGATTTGAGCTCAGTGGGCTGACCGGCATTACCAACCACCCTGACAATACCTTCCACCACAGACCTAGATTCGAACTTACTCCGGGAATTTCCATTTGAGTTTAAAACTGAGCAAGTTTTCATCTTATGTCCACTTCTAGAACTGGGTTTGTTCCCAGACTGCCACTGGTACAAACAAGAAGAATTATTCTTAAATTTGTGCGCATTCCGGAATGTGAGTTTCTCTGGGTTTTCCAAAGCATTGCATTTGGACCGGTTGTCCTTATATTTTGATGGCCTTGAAGGCTTTACAACAGGAGCCGATTTAGGGGTTTTGGGCAGTATTTTAGGCCTACAAATAGGAGTTTTTGAATTAGAAGAAGAAGAAGAATGAGAGAGAAAGAACCTGAGGCAACCTCGAGGGGCTTCGACAGAGATAGAAGAAGAAGCCTCGCTGCCATTGTTGCTATTGCTAATGGTGCTGCTGGTATTGAGATCCTGTAATGGATTTCGAGGGCTCTGCTCCTTTTTCTTCTTCTTCTTGTTCGCCGTCGCCGGTGCCGGAGACGGAGCCGGAGAGGGTTTCTTGGCGAGTTTTGACGACAACGATCGGTTCATAGCGTATGAAGACCTCACTCTGCGTGTGTGAGTGAGTGTTAAGCAAGGGAAACAGCAGATCTGAAAAGGAAATGATTTCAAAAATCTAACGGAGGGAGAGAGGGTAAGGGGGAAGGTCATCATTGTTTTATCAACATACCCATTATTTTCAGATATATTTTCTGAAATGCCATCAGTTCTCAAGTGGGGCCGTGGTCCCTCATAGCCGTTAATAGCTTATCAAAACAAGCATATGGGATCTGCGTCAGTTGTTGTGCGGTTTGTTTGTTTGTTTGTTTTAGCTTTTTATTTTAGGAGTGGACCAACTGCAGCAGTGCAGGGTGCTTAGAATAATAATAACTTTTTCTCAGTCTCTCTCATACTCAGTGTTTGTTTTTCTTTTTCCAACTCATAGTTTCTTTTCTGGTACAAATAATCAATCAATCAATCAAACAGTCCTCATCTGCATCTTCAGCGGGCCAGGCCAGAGGCAGAGGCAGTAGCAGCGAGCGAGCGTCCTCAATAAGTAGTTAAGTCTTTTTTTCCTTTTGACTGTTTCACACTCGTCGACAATGGCAGTGACTGAACCCAAGAAGATCATCATTGACACCGACCCTGGCATCGGTAATAATTCCTTCACATTTTCACTTTCTTGCAAATCCTATCTCATAATAATCTCATCTTTCTTCCAACACTATTCCAATTCTGGACCTTTATTACCAACATCTATAAATTAATTCAAGCTTCAAGCTTTCATGGATTGCCGTGGGCCCTGCTCCATGTAGCCATGTAGGTACTAATGGATCCGTCAGATTCCAATTAAGCGGATTAATGCTCGTGCTGCTTCTCCCTTTCCTTGCCCACTAATTAATTAATCAGCATCTAGAATTTTTTTTAATTAATCAGTAAAGGAGCCAACTTTGGCTATCTCCACTTGGTCACCACCAACAATACCTTTTCAATTTGCTTGCGATTGAACGAATATCAATCCGGGTATTGAATAGGCCTAGGGCATCCATGATCCATCCCTGGGAAATTTTCAGGTTGGGATGCCAATGCCACCAATTTCACTTCTTTTCTTTTCTAAAAACAACAACTTAAGAAGATCAAGATTCTGATAAATCTAGGACTTTTCTTCATAATCACTTGGGACTCAGGAACCCAGTGCTGCTGCAGAGCCGTCCATTGCTGCTTCAGGCCAATGCATTTTCCTGTGCAATTTTATATTATTGGCAACCAAATGGAGGATTCTGCTTTTGTGTTTTATGTTTTTAGTAATACCGTTGCGTTATGCATGCAGATGATGCCATGGCCATCTTTGTGGCATTACAATCCCCGGAGGTGGAAGTGATTGGACTTACTACCATATATGGAAACGTTTATACGACTCTGGCCACAAGAAATGCCTTGCATTTGGTACACTTATTGCCTTTTTGTGTCTTGTTCTGCGTACTATATGTTGACCTTCATCTCCTTTTCCTTGTATATTCTAGCATTGGATTAGGCATTTCATTCACTGTTTTCGTTGCTCATTAAAAAATAATTATACCCTGTTTTTTTGTTTTTGTATTTGGTTTAGTTGGAGGTTGCAGGGAGAACTGATATTCCTGTGGCTGAAGGATCTCATGTCACAATAACTGTAAGTTCTCATCCTATTTGGTTTTCTTCGCTTATCAATAAATTAATCTATTAGTGGTTCTTAAAGTTTGTATATATGTTCCGTCAGTTTCATAACTTCCGCCCAGAGATTTTCTTCTTGTCTTCCTCCTATTGTTCTGTGCCCCGAGCTCTTTTTTTCTTTTTCTAGTGTCTTCATTTTTAATGTGCGCCTGTGTGATAAAAGTTAAAACCAGCACTGAATGGTGATTATAAATTAGTTAACTCGTCTGTTTTTATTTATTTATATTTTTATGGTTTTTAACAAACAACGATATTTAGCAGTTAGAAAGTCCGACATGTCCTTTCATAAGAAATTGTATATAGGAAGCCAATTGGAAATGCATCTATAAACCAATTTGAAATATTTTTCTTATATATTGACTAAAATATAGTTACGCACACACACAGCGTAGTGCTACCCTACTGACATGTGGTTAGTTTCTTGATGGTAATCTACCTCTATTTATGCACAATGTGTAAATGAATGAAGGGATAACCTGAGATCACTGTTTGCAGATTTAGTAAGAAACTTCCTATCCATTTCCTTTGGCAGCTGTTTTTCAGCTTTATTTCTTGCATTAAAATCACTTACCAACTGAACCTCAATTAGCAAGCCTCACTATGTTCTTGCTTATAGACAAGCTGATGTATGAATAAAATCCATAACTCATCAATCATTTCATCTTTTCCATGAAAAGAAAGGTACAAAACTTCGTATTGCTGATTTTGTTCATGGTGCGGATGGACTTGGCAACCAAAATTTCCCCCCACCAAAAGGAAAGCCAATTGAACAGTCAGCAGCAGCTTTTCTGGTTGAACAAGCAAACCTTTACCCTGGAAAAGTCACTGTGGTAGCATTGGGCCCACTTACAAATATTGCACTGGTCAGATTCTTGATGCATTGCATGCTTTTGTGTTGTGACAATTATTCTTAATCTTTTGTAACAGAGTATCCATTGATACAGGCTACTCAACTAGAACCTGCATTTGCAAAGAACATTGGGCAGATTGTTCTTCTTGGTGGTGCTTTTGCAGTCAATGGGAATGTGAATCCAGCAGCAGAGGCCAACGTAAGCTGCTTAAACTATATACATATATTTACACACACACATTTCAGATTCAAAATTTTCAAGACTTCAGCTCGAGTTTATGCATGTAACTAGCTTTGAATTCAGTTTATTATCTGTCCAGTTCCTGCCTACTTATTGGGTTTATTTGTTATTGTGGAATACCATTAGTTCCAAATCAGCTACAACCTTTTCATTTTCTATTGTATATCAGCCAGACTAATATTTTGATTGGGCTTATTCATCTCCCACCTGAACTTAAGCTTTGGAAGTTTCTATGGCAATATCTTCATGATCTACTTAAATAGATGTTGATAATAATGTCCTTGGATGCAATCCGCGAACAGATATTTGGGGATCCAGATGCTGCAGATATGGTATTTACAAGTGGAGCAGATATTTTGGGTGTGGGGATAAATGTTACCCATCAAGTTGTATTGACAGGTACTATATTGGGAAATTTTTATTCTTCATTGTTATTGATGTTTGATGAAAAACATACATACTTATCAAAGAAATGCCTTCTAATAGTAAGTATACTCCATATTTGTGATCTCAAAGTAGTATCCTACAAATTCAAGTCAAAAATATGGTTTCTGTTTTATAGTTGGTCAATGTAGATTGTAGAGCCTAACTCTGTGTGTCTTCTAAATGTAATAAACTTTTTTGCTTCTTTTATTGTACTATAAATTGTATCCCGAAAAACCTATTTTTCTTACCCATGGGCCATGACCATCTGCATTAATATCCTCGGAGGTTTTTATTCAATTTTTGAATCATTGGACCAATCATTATATGTTGTCCTCCTCATGAAACAGATTTCACATAGGTACTGTTTCTTGTAGCAGTATCAAAGAAACTATCTGAACTCAACATGCCATATCCCAAATAATAGGTGGTGCTGGACAATGTCTTTAAGAAGCCATGTTTGTTTTTATGTTTCTTTTACCTATTTTTGAAATGAAATAACACTAATACTAAGATCTGTTTTCTGAAAAGCGTAGCCTTTGAGAACACTTTTGACACAGAGGCTTTAGGAGTTCAATTAGCCTTCATGCAAAAACTTCCACACAATCTACTTCCTTTTGTAGTTCATCAGGAAATCTTAAAATACAATTTTTGGACTCCCGTTGTGTGCCAAATCGGTAATTTATCTGGAAACTGTTGTGGCATTTATGAAAGCAGTATGTTTGAAATGGCCAGTTGATAAATAAAATTCTTGGATGAAAACTTCATGCTTGATTGTAATTATTGCATAAATCATCATACTTTCTGCATGATATTTTACTGTAATTCTGACCCATGAAGATGCTGATCGGGAAAAGTTGGCAAGGTCAAATGGAAAATTTGCTCAGTACTTGTGCAAAATTTTAGATGTGTACTTCTCCTACCATCGTGATGCCTATAGCACAAAAGGTTAGTTTACTGAAGTGTTGATGCAACTCAAAGCAGTGGAATAACAATGATTGTAGACATTATATTGATGGTGGATTTAATCTTGGTGTAGGAGTTTACCTTCATGATCCCACAGCACTTCTTGCAGCTGTTAATCCTTCACTCATCACTTACACAGAGGGTGTTGTTAGAGTACAGACAAACGGCATCACAAGAGGACTCACAATTTTGTACAACAAACAGAAAAGGTAGGGGGCCCTTCTTTACCACGATGAGATGTCAAATAGCACAGATGATACCGTACTTTAAAGAAGTTTTTGAATTCAAAAAGGCAAAAGATGAAAACTTGTAAAATTCTTCTGCATGCATGGAATGGAATGCTTGTTCGCTGTTGATAATGGAAATATTGAGTTCATGGCAGATTTGCATGTGTTGTTAGAAGACCCCACCCGAGTTCCAATTATAGTGATGGAGTCGTGATCTCTTTTTTACTTTGGTTAGGTTTGGTGAAGTGACGGAATGGTCTGATAAACCCACGGTGAAGGTTGCAGTGACGGTTGATGCTCCCGCAGTAGTCAACTTGGTTATGGAACGCCTCATTGACTCTTGATGAATTGAACTAGTGCTGATGAAATTAATGCACTCTGATGATTGAACAAATGTTGGCATCCATTTCATTTTCTTTACAGGAAAACAACACAAACATGGTTGATCATGTTCACGGCATCTGGTTTTGGATGCTGCCTGCTGCTGCTGCATTGCATATAATACATTACCATCTTCATGTGTACAATAATAATAACCATTTACGAAGAATAAAAGTGTTTGTTTGTATTGTAGTCTCTTCTGGGGTGAGGGTGGCAATAATCAATGATGATGTGGTAACAGTTTTGTTGTGGCAACTTGCAAGCATTGTATATTGTATTGATGATTATTATGGCAATTAAAACTGTTTTCACTTTTTTTCTTCTTCCTTTGCAAATTGCTATTAATAATGATGAAGTTGGTTGGATCTTCTCATGAAATCCCATGATGGGCCAGTGGACCATGGGCAGAGCGCAACTGGATATTTCTTGAGAATATACATGGGCCAGAACCAGCAGAAGGGTGCGTTCCAAGGACCCAACCCATTTGTCTAATCTCCTAACGACCCAAACCCTTTTGAAATCAATTTACCAAAACGATTTCTCTTTTTATATATACAGTAATGAGTGTCTGGAAGGAGATGAAACAAATTTCGAGCCCTCAAGAAATTTTTTTATAAAAAAAAAACAAGAAAAGAAAAGCGATACAGGAAAGAGGCATCAGGAGGAAGAAGAACGTACATTAAAGATACGACAGAGAGACGAGAAGCGGTGATCAAATGAGGCATATTGCAGTTGTAGTGCAACGAAAACGCTTACGCTTGTCCCACTGCTAGGCTGACCAGTGTAGTTTTTCTTTTTGGTTTTTTCTTGGGCTTCGGCCCTCCTTGTAACCGAAAAAAAGAAAACGCTTACGCACTCCGCTTTTGGTTCCATTCCCTCGCTCGCTCGCACGCACGCACCGCCTCACATTCTTTCTCTCTCTTTCTTTCTCCACATTTCCTTACTTCCTTACTTCCTTCTTCCATTAGTAGTAGATTTAGAGAGAGAGAGAGAGAGAGAGAGGTAGAGATGGCGGGAGTGGGTGGTGTTGTAGGAGGAGTAATACTGGACGAGTCTGTACTTTTGGCCTCACAACAACTCCAGTATCCCGATTCTTCTTCTTCTTCTTCTCATAGCAGCAGCAATTGTGCCTCTTTCCAACCAGACGCCCACTTTTTGCTCCGTAAGCTCCGCTATTCCAACATCCCTACGGTACGCTACTACTTCTACTTGTACTTTCTCTTGTTCCAACTCTGCCTAATTCTTCAACATTTCGCATAAGTTTCTTTTCATCACTTCGCTAGCTTCTTCTTCTTCCGCTTTTTCTATGTATTCGAAAATAATTCTCTTATGTGCTGGGCATCTTACATTTCCCAAGGAAAAGTTCAATTCTGTAGTAAGCAAAATGGAAATTGTTCGTCTTTTGATATATATTGGCTTCTCTTTGCAGGGCATTTCTTATGGACCAGGTCTTGAAGCTCATAAGGTAGCTTCTCATTTTCCTTGCACATTATTCTTTTCTTAATGAAAGAAAGAATTATAACACTATTGTTAGATATTCATTAGAGCGCTTACCAATTTGACTATCGCACTCTACTGTTTTTACTGATTCATTTAGCTGTGTATAGTATAATTCCCATTTCTTTTCAACTTAGCGCTTTTAAATGTTTTTATAATTCATTTGTGCTTTTGCTGGTAAAAACAATAAAATTCCCTTTTGATACCACATTAAATAAATTATAAAAAGAAAGCAAAATGCTGTAATAGTTTACCCAAACTTTATCCTTAACTACCAAGTCTGCTTGTTATAGGTTAGTATTCTTAAAGAGGTGGCGACGCAGTATTCAATCCATTGCTTCATCTTGGATGCGTCCTCTATAGATGATACTACACGAGAGGTCATGCTAGCTTGGAGTAACATTGGAGGCCGTATTTTGTATCTGGTTTCTAACAAGAAGAGAGACATCTATACTAAACTAAGCAAATGCGGTTGGCTGATCACCATTCTGAGTGAGTATCAGAATTCATGTTTTCCCCAACAATGAGAGTCAGGACTTTTTGTTCTGCACTAGCAGCACTATGGCATGAAAACCAGGTCTACTAATTTAGGTCTGTCATGTGTCATACCAAATTTGACTTGATCAAGTGGTATCAAACACCATTTTCTTGTTTTGGTTCTTGTTAAACCTGATATTGGTACCTCTGACAAAAGAATGATTACAATTCTCGAGGTGCATTTGATGTTATGGACAAAGGTTCAGATATTTAGGATTACTTTTTTTGTTTATTTATTTCTTAGTATGTATAAATCGGTTCATAGGGAATGACCTTGTGATCAAATGGAAATTGTACAAGAAGTTTTTGCAAGTTCTCTCAATTGAATGGAATATCTCCTCAGGAAGAACATATCACATCAAATTCTCTTTGTAGGCATAAATAAACTAGTGAAAGCCAAAAAAATTAATGGAATCAAGTTCTCTATGAAGTTGGGACATTTCTATATATTGAAGTAGAAAAATTGACTTGAGAAGCTGTTTAAGGAGCTTAAATGGGGCCTTCTGATAATATATTCCATATTACACCCATGTGTGCATACACAAGTGAGTATTTCAGCACTAAGTATTCTTTTTTAAAGTATGGCAAGGGAAAACTTGCATTAGAACACTGTCATTATATAATTCTTAGTGCGGGTGTTGGGGCTTCTAGATATAAGAATGTTTTATATCTAAAGTTGTCTGCAACATTGTGATCAATGTTGTCCTGTTGTTTGCTCAAGTAAAAATTATTTTGCTTTCAGATGTTGAAGGCAGCAGTGCATGTGAGAATTCAAGCATGGTTTATATCAACAAACTACAGGAGTTGCCTTTGACTATTTGCCACATAAATAGAAAGGTTTTAAAAAGTAACTGCTGTCCATATTTTACTATTCCTACGGTCTCCGTATTTTACTATTCTTGAATGTGCCGTACTTTGTTTATATGCTCTCTAGAGGTGGAACAGCACCAAGTATGGCCATGCCCCCTCCAAAGTTTTGACAAAGCAACAAGTTTTATTAGTCATTTGGATAGAAGCTAGCTGATAGGAGCCCACATGGGCTTGTATGGCCACTACACTGCACACTCATAGCAACTATGAAGAGGCGGACATTCATTTTGTTTAGAGAAAGAATTAAAGCACCTATAAAGTATTAAACGAACCTCCATTTTAATTTTGATCTATACATGCTTTTTTCCGAAGTTTTTTGTTTAACAATTTTTTTGTGGCTCATCTATGGCCCCTGCCACCGGAATTTTCTGGGTCCGCCATTGCTCTCAATATACTTGCACATTCAAAAAATGGTTTCATCCTGGAAGTTGTCTTATTTTCTGTACAACCTCTTCAGCTTATCGGTCTATGCATAGGAAAAGGGAGAGGTTTTCTTATATATTGCTTGTAAGTTTGAATTTTTATGTTTCACATGGAAAACAGGCAATTGGGAACAGTGTTGTGACTGTCGGTTATATTATGAAGCCTTCTCGTGAAGAAGATTTTGCTAAGGTGAGCCCTCTGTATAATTGAAGGCGATCAGTGGTAGTAGCTAAGAAAATATTTAAGAAAAGGAAGAAGTGTAACTTGTAAGAGGGCCTTGTGACACCATAGACTTTGTGTTATGTAAACATGCCTCATCAAAATGCTAGTGTTATTGATACTTGGTGTAGTGCAAATTTCTGAATTGTACTCATCTGAAAGGCTTTGACTGTTCTCTTGGCTTTTGGCACTTGTGAAAGAACCATGACAGATTAAATGGCTGTAATTATTTAATTGGAGATGTCTAGTAACTTTTGTCCTGAGAAAATCTCAGTTTGGTCTGATTTGTTGTGGCTAGTACTCCAAGTGATCGTTTATTCATAAAAAATATCAGGTAAATTTGACATGTATATATGATTGCATTTTGAAACTTACAAGTCATCTTGAATTTTTCAGAGGGGTGCATTCCCTATGTATCCTACTCAAGATGGGCTGATGTTTGTTCCCCTCACATTTGAGCTCCCTCTATCACCTCAGTTACAAGAAGTTGATGTAGTACTCCACAAAGCAACTGATGAAATTATATCCATTGATTTGAATAGTTCTTTACAGTCCTCTAACACCATAACTTACAGCAGGGGGATGCAGGAATTGCAAAGGTAACTTACGAAGTTTATGAATCTGATTTTTTTCCCCATAGTGTAGTTGGCTTGATGCCAAAAAATATAATTCATCTTAACATTTGCTGGTCTTTTCATATATCTTCTATTGGCAATTATTCCACTGTACACGGCATTTGAGATGAATTTACACTTTGTGGTGCTTCCATCTTAGCCTGTGAAATGTTTCCACCTATAAGGAACTGAAACACACCTGAGAACTAGAAACTCAATGTGCTCTTTAAGTTCCTAGAGACACTGAACTGAATTGGAACATTTCTTGAATCATAAGATATGATTTATTGGTACTGAAGTTGAAATGTGACACACACGTGTGTGCTTTAATGATTTGTAAATGCAAAGGTTTATAGTTTATGCTCTTCTGTAATTTTCTTTTCTTTCTATTAAGCAATATATCTGTGCAGCTCCAATTTAGTTTTAAGCCTTTTTTTCACCATATTATACAGTCCTTATTTCTTTTATTTTCGGTTGTTTCTAAGACCCTGCTTTCTTTTACACAGATATATGGAACATCACTTGGACCTTTGTGTGATTGACCCACTTAACTGTATTTATCCTGTACTGGATCGATTGAAAATTCAACAGATTCTACTTGGGTTGGAGGATCTCAAAACCAGAGGTTGCCATGCAATTAGGGGGGCCAATTTTCTGAAGGTTTTTTGTTTTCTTTTCCTCATAATGGATTCACAATTTGAAAGAAAAAACTTTGATGCTGATACTTTGTCAGTGAACTTTTTGGTAATATGCAGCATATATACATGTCAAATTTACCTAGTAAGTGGGATTAGATATTTCCGTATCATTATTTCTTCATCAATTTAATGATAGTGTTCTCCTGTATTAGAATTGGGTAGTCAATTGGGATCCTGTATTATGTAGGAGTTTCACTATTTGCAGTTATTGTGTTAATTTATGAGAATCACAATATATGGCATTGGTTGGGCAGTAGAACAAAGTTGTTGGTTTCTTCTTAGATGCAGTTGTATGTGGAGTTTTTATTATTCTCATTTTATTTAAAATTACAGGTTGATGATTTTAACCAGGCTGGTTTGATTCAAAGCCTATCTGAAGCTAAATTAGCTCTTCCAAGTATAGTAAAACCTCAAGTTGCTTGTGGTGTAGCCGATTCTCACAGTATGGTAATTCTTTCTTTATTTTTAAAATATAAGGATATCAGTCACATCGCTGCAAATACTTCTCTTTTCCCCCTCATATCTGATTGCATTTATCACCATCTCTGAAAGGTGTTCATATATTTGTTAAATGAATTGCATTGAACTGTTGTGGAGCCAGTATAGTGGAGTGAGATTATGGAAGCATACATGTACCGAGTTGATTTCTTCATCTAAAGTCACCAACTCTGCTGTACTGTTTAAATTTGAAAAACCTCAACCCTTACCTTACAGGCAATTGTTTTTAGAGTTGAAGATTTCAAGGATTTGACTGTTCCTCTTCCAGCAATTATACAGGTGAGAAAGATTTAATTTTAATTCGATGAATTTGGTGTAGCATCTTACCTAACATATTTGATATAGGAATTATATTTACTCCAACCTAATGCAACGTTATGTATTAAAAGAATAGGTGTCAAAGTCCAGGTATGGTTTGCCAAGCGTGTCCATGCATGCTAATTTACAGGTCTGAAATCATAAATTATTTGCAGGAATATGTGGATCATTCATCAACACTCTACAAATTTTACGTCTTGGGTGAAAAAGTTTATCATGCAGTTAAGAACTCTACTCCAAATGCAGATACCTTGATGAAATTATCTGGAAGTAAGGAGCTCAAACCCTTGGTCTTTGACAGGTAGCATGCTCTCTTCCCCTTCTGCTCTACCTTTCCTTTTGTTCTTGATTTGTTAATGCATGTATTCAAAGACACCCATGTCATGGTGATTTTCCTTCACAGCTTAAAATCTCTACCGACTACCAAGGGAAACCCAAATTCTGGAGATGATAATAGCTCAAAGGCCACTGATCACTGCATTGATCTCGAGCTGGTTACTAGTGCAGCTAATTGGCTTATGAGAAAGCTTGAACTGACCATCTTTGGCTTTGATGTTGTTGTAAGTAACCAAGTTAAGTTTGCTCAATTATATATTATAGCAACCCACAATTTCACCAAATTAAGCTACAAGCCTATGTTGATGCGTTGATTGAGTATTATGCTTGTGAAAAGGAAAATCAAAATAGAACAATGAGGACAACTGTATGGTTCGTAACCACCAGAACTTCCTTATCTACCTGAAGCAAGGTAGTGTGATATTACTTGTTTGCTCCGTGACACCCATTTCGACATCTTTGCTTCTGTCTCCTACAAGTTATTTGCTTCATACATTATGCAGTGGAGCAAAAATGAACATCCCTGTGTTGGATTGTGCTGACGTGTGTGGCCGTGATATTTTGTGCACATTTTGACCCAATTTTTCTTGTCATGTGGATGCAGATTCAGGAAGGCACAGGTGACCATGTCATTGTTGATGTAAACTACCTTCCCTCATTCAAGGAAGTTCCCAATGAAGTTGCCATCCCTGCGTTTTGGGATGCTATTAAGAAGAAATTTGAATTGAAAAGGACGACATGAGCAACTGCTAGTGTTTTGACTTGTACCTGCAAGTAGTTGGTTTGTTAACATGAAGTTTGATAATGACAACGGATTTACAGAGACAAGAGTTCGTGTAATAGAATTGTATTTTATTACATAAATTGCACTCTTATCTCAAGAACTCTAAGCAATGAAACCTTCTTCTTCTTCTTTTTTGGTCATTTTCATATCTTTGGATGGCAAGAATCATGTTGAAGAAAAGGAGTTAGAAGTTGGGAAATCTTTACTTTGAAAAACATGAGCCGACTCTACCGGCCTCTCAAAACTACGAGAAGTAGAATCGAATATTTGTTTAAAAATTAAAATGAAAAGTAATAATAAAAAGGTTGTAAACTTTGTGAGTAGGAATTTTAAACGGCTCAAGTATGAAGACGATCAAGGAAACGTTTGAGGAGGAGCCACCGGTGGGGATGGGGGGTTGCGATGGATTTGTATTTCGGGTCTTTTTATTTTATTAATGGAAAAATATATAATTTTTTTAATTTTTAAAAAAATATAAAGAAAGAAAAGTGTTGGATGTCAAAAGAAAACAATTAAGCCTCATTAAATCATGGAGTTACATTATAGGATCTATTATGGCAACTGAAAATAGGTGAATAATTTCCAACGATTAAGTTTTATGCTTAAGTTGTCAAACAATGGAAATATTCATTTCACATCTTTAATTTTTGACTTTTAACTAAATTCCGAGTTATTTTCCTTCATTAAAACAGATGATAGCAAAAAGAAACTTTGTTTTTAGCCGAATAGCTCAAAAAAAAAAAAAAAGACTTGGGGTGACTCTATGTGTACTGTTTTGAGCGTACGTTGACCAATTGACAAAGAGACTGACTAAGTGAGAGCCGGCACGGAAGGGTGAAGAACAAAGGCCCAGTCCAGTCCAGTCCAACTGTTGGAGAAGTAGGGCAGAAAGAAGAGGATGAAGTAAGAGAACGATGGGAAGAGTCAAGCATTAGTAGGGGTCCCCACATTACGAAAATCCAAATGGACCAATCGATGAGGAATGAGAATCAAAAGTATAAATAGGCGAGGATCGGAAGCAGCCTGAAACCCGAGAAGTCCTCTCCACTGTCCTCTCCGCCCCTCACAGGGCTCTCTCCCTCGTTTTTCTACTCCAACAAGTTCCTCTTTCTTCCCCCACCCTCATCCATAACACCCCTAAACCCCCTACAAACAAGATTAAAATGGCCCAAGGGGAATCCCCACCGTCCGATTCTACATCAGATCCATCTCTGTCCCGGAACGTCTCGTTTAGCCGACTGAACGCCCAGGCTCCCGAGTTCGTCCCAACCAATCGCAGTGGCAGCACACCCACATCTGGGCCCACACCCGCACCGGGGCCGGCAGCGCCTCCGGTGTCTGCGGGTCAGGTCCACGTCTACTCTCCGCCTTCAGTCCCTTTCCATGTGCCGATCCAGGTCGTCCCTCCTCCTCCTCCTCCTCATGTGGTGCCGGTGCCGGTCCATCATCATCACTTACCAGTCCAGTACCATCATCACCACCAGTATCATTACTCTGGATTTGGAGACCAAGAGGCGGCCGTGCAGCACAAGCAGCAGCAGCAGCTGGGAGAGCAAGCTCAGGTGGATCATGCTTCTTCCTCCTCCTCCTCCAAGACTCACAAGCTTTCCGATGAAGCTACTTCCAAGATTTTGAATCAGGTTCGCGTTTACTTTTTTATTCTCTTTTACTACCTTTTTCTTCATAGCGCCTTATGCTGTTTTAGTCTTTTCCAAATATTCAATCTTCACCAAATCACGGATACTATTAGCTTCTTTTGGATTTTGGTCCATCACACCAGATCCTAATCTTTGAACACCTCGAACCATAAACACACACGTCTCTCATTCTGATTCTAGAGTTTGGCAGTTTATTGTGCTTGTGAATTGTGCCTAATCTTTTTTCGGATATACTTAGCGATTCCAAATTCCAATGGTGCAGTATAAGTTGGAAGGAAGAGCAGCGTGTCCTGTATTCCTATGCATACAATTCAAGTCTCCAAAAGGACCTGAGAAAAATTGAACACTAATTTATAGGCATGTAAAAACGGAATGCGGCTTAAGTTTACCCAAATTCAAATTGGAACCTCCTCTGCATTCTCTAAATATCTAACGCTCCTTTACCTCCGTAGAAGGTGGTCAAATGATCCTCCTCCTAAAGTTATCATAGGTGACAATTCTCTACCCCAAGTGTAAGATCAAGCGAAAAACACCATCTTTAGCAGTGCTTTGGTTCTTCAGGTGGCTCTTCATCTCCAGTAGAACCTAGACCATACCTGAGCAACAAGACTTTTTAAGATCTACAACAGATAAAAAAGGGATTTTAAAGATCTGAGTGTCCGAAAGATCAGAAGATGGAACAACGGACCTATACAAAACCTTGAGTAGAAGGTTTCTACATAGATAAAGAGGAAACATTAGGTAAAGCTTCTGGAATAGTGGTTGTCAGAACACTGGCAGACCTAGTGGTCAAGATAGAATCAGTGTGATGAGGTTGACTTGTGCTTCTCTTCAAATAAGAAGCTTAAATAGACTAAATCATCACATAAAATGCATTAGAAATTGAATAAGTCAGTCCTCATCACAAGGAATTATTAAACAAAGCAATACCATTCATTTAGTCCATTATGGTTCAGATAATGCAAATTGATCTGAAAAAAAAAGACATTTGAGAATGAAAATGTGCAGTAGAGTCACCAGCTATTTTTATTAATTGTGAAGATCACTTCATGAACTTTGCCTGATAAAATTTTGTAGGTGGAGTATTATTTCAGTGACCTAAACTTGGCTACTACTGATCATCTTATGAGGTTCATAAACAAAGACCCTGAAGGATTTGGTAAGCTATATTTCTTTTACCTTTCCTATCTTTGATTAGGAATGCAGCACATACCAATCTTTTTCTTTTACTTTTACTTTTCTTTTGATTTTCTTTTATAATTTAGTACGGTTTTATATGTATCATAGAGTTGGATTCACCGTCTGTGTGCCCGTAATATACTTGATCTGCTTACCTTCAAGTTAAAGGGAAAATAGCTTACTCTAAGACGGGCATGTGTGCCTGCGGAAACACATTTAAGTAATTTATACGATTTTTGTATTCTAATTGTTATTTTGGAAGTCCTTGATTGATTTTTTTATCGTTATTAACTATTTAATATTCATTCTGATATAGTGCCAATATCTGTTGTTGCATCTTTCAAGAAGATTAAGGCCCTTGTAAATAGTCAATCTCAGCTTGCAACTGTATTGCGGAACTCTTCAAAACTTGTGAGTTTATATGTTTGAGCTCGTGCTTAATATGCTATTGTCGTCCTTAAGGAATCCTCTTGTTGACTCCTTTTCTTTTTTGTTTCCCCTCTAAAAATGGAACTTTTTTTCAACTCACCTGTGTATCCTTTTTTCATTTAGTCTATGTTTTTAATCTTTAATGATGTCATATTCTGCAGGTAGTTCATGAAGATGGAAAGAAAGTTAGACGCCAGCATCCCCTGACTCAGTCAGATATGGAAGAGTTGCAAGTATGTTTTACTTGTATTCAGTCCCATTTACATGTTTTCAGGACAAAAGCTTTGGTTTGGTGCCTTGTCTATAGTGTCATTTTGTTCCTTTATGCCAAAAATTTTGTGAATGGGTCTTTTAAAAAGTTTCATTTTAAGTATAACAGGTAAATTATATTTTTATGGTTATTCTTCTGTAGTAAGACTCGTTTTAAATCCTTGCTTAAATTGATAATTGTTGATGTTTCATGAAAACTAGATACTTGTTTCCTCTTACCATATAATGTGCATTCTGATCTGTAGTCTCGCATAGTTGTCGCTGAAAATTTGCCTGAGGATCATTGCCACCAAAACCTCATGAAGGTTTTCTCTGCTGCTGGGAGGTACCAAAATCACATTGTGTTGTAGATTTTTTTTATTTATTTGAATGCTTTATTTTCTGAGTAAAATCTGTTTTTTCAATCCTAGAAGTCTATATAACGTTGAGTTGTTCTTTGACAGTGTGAAGACAATCCGTACCTGCCAGCCACAAACCTCCAATAGTGGTGCTTCCCCAGCATCCAGATCTACAAAAGCAGATGGCACGCTTTTCAGTAACAAGGTATACATAACAACACATGCACTTGCTTGGAGCAGGTTATGGTTTGTTATGGGTTGTGCTGTTCTTTGGACTTTCATTGTTTTCAGCAACTTTGACCATTTTTCTTCTGTGAAGTAAAGTTTGCTTATTTCTAACCCTGCGTGGTGATGGAGGGTGGGAAATGGGTCAATATTAGGATAGGTGAAAGGTTTGATCCCTTCCAATGTAACAAAAAGAAAATCGTTCATTCTAGATTGCTTCAGGTATAAAAAGATAATAGGTATGCCTCCCAAAAGACTGGTTTCTGACTTAAATTTTATTAGGTTACAATATTTTCTAGTATGAGGGGGCTAACCTTTTGAGAAGTTGTCTCACAGAAAGATGCTTTTACAAAATTATGCCTCAATTTTTAAAGTAATCTGGAAAATTGCAGATTAACCAAACCAAAGTGTATTGGTCTGATGATGCAATCATCTTTGGCTTTGGGACTGACCTATGAAGGACCTTCCTTGCATTGATTTTATATTGTAACTTAGCACTAATATTGCAGTGGCTGTAGCGACATTCTTTCACCCAGAAAAAAAAAAAGGATGTTACGTTTTAAGAAATCATACTCGGTGAAATAGATCAACATTAATGCAAATGTCACTAATGTTTATAGTTAATAGTTTTGTTATCATTATTACTCACATACAGTTAAAGATGGACAGAAATATCTGATATCTGGACTCTTTTTCTGTAGTTGCATGCATTTGTGGAATATGAATCCCCTGAGCTGGCAGAGAAAGCTGTAAGTGTTTGCTGTGATTTGACATCAATATGGCCTTCGCCATGCTCATTACACAGAATAAATGTGCATTTCTTTCTTTGGTAAGACAGATCACTGTGCATTTCTATCTTCAGGTTGCAGAGCTTAATGATGAGGCCAACTGGAGGAGTGGCCTTAAAGTCCGTTTAATGCTTAGACGAGCGGTATATGCCCAAAACTATGGTTCTTTGTTAGGTAGTTCAATTTGGTTCCTGAAATTATAGTTTAACACGAACTGTGGGCTTATGAAATTATAGTTCAATTCAGTTCCTGAAATTCAGTTGGCTTATGAAATTAAGATTTCGAACTGTATAATTGAAATGTATACTTTCCCAAATGAGCTAATGTTATAGAATAAATGTTGACATAAATTACTTTCTTGTTATTTTAGTTAATCATATAATTGGGGTGTATGTGATTGGTCCCATGCTGCTTGACTGAATGATCTTTCAGCATAGTAACTTAGTTGATTTGGACCAGTCCATTGATGTTTCTGTTTGTTTGTTCCATTCTCAGTCAAAACCTGCTCAAGTGCGGGGGAAAAAGGGGCAAGATGGGGAAGTGCAATTAGACGAAGAGGATGCTTCTTCACCTGAACAGCAGGCCAATGAAAAACAATCAGTAGATTCTTCCCAGCAGTCTGATGCCACTTCACATGAACATGTAAGCGCTCACAGACTCATTTAAATGTGTATGTCTTCTTTTTTGGACAATTAGATTTTCATTGCTAAATTTTCACAGATGCTAATTGGACAAACTTTTTCCATAAAGTTTTTATTTATTTATTTATTTTGGTCAAGGCTTTTTCCATAAACTTAATGGTAGCATATGCATAGTATTGGAATGTAGCTTTACATTTCCCTTACGTTAGGGATGAAAGTAAACACTTGTTACAGATGTCAAGCAACAAGTTCCTTGGTGAGGGAAAGTTAGCAAAGAGTTTTATGTATCACACTTGGACTCATTCTTGGCTAGTTTCTTATTTGTATGTATTATTTTTAATGTATCATCTCTAATATCATAATCATTTCATCCAGCATGAATTGACCTTAGGATAGAAGTCTCCCAGCTATAGCATCTTCAACAGAATTGAAAATTTGTTTAATTTCTAGTATCAAAATTGATAACTTAGGAAACTGTGGTATGTAATTCCCTTGAACAGTTGCCGCTACTAAGAGTTTGTCTTGGCTTGTTCATTTACAAGGCAAAAGCTAATGATTGCAGCACACAATAAATATTAACAAGAAATCCATCACCATTTTAGTAATGTTCATATAAATTGCATTGTCATAAAACAGGCATCACTTCAACTCATATCAGATTATATGAGGAATTGTGAAATTGACATCTGAAATCATTACTTCCTGAAGATATAGGTATGTTGTAATTTTTTTTCTTTGCAGGGAGAGGAGCATGGCAATGACAAGGAGGTCGGGCAGAGGAAAGGGCGTAATCGAGGCCGTGGGAAGGGGCGTGGGCGAGGTCAATACCATCATAATAATAATCGTGGAAATCATGTGGGGCCTCCTCCTCACAATTCAGTTGGCAGTATTGAGCAGCCAGGAGTAGCCAAGCAGCCTCCTGGGCCGCGTATGCCAGATGGCACAAGGGGATTTGCAATGGGTCGGGGGAAGCCAGTTGCTGTTAATATTGCATAAGGATTAAGGACAGGGTATTTGAGAGGCTTTTTCGTTTTGTATCTGTGGCTGCAAGTACATGTTGGGGATGGGAAACTATGCCTTCTCGTGTGGTGTTTGATGGCAAGGTTTTACAAGGGCTGTCAATCCAGTGTAGTTTAAGGGTCAACTTTCCATTATATGTCGATTAAATTTTCTGATTGTGTTTTGTACTGAGGGAAGGATGATTAGGAACAAATGTGATTTTGCCTTCTTTTTAAAGATATAGGGGGAAAAAAAAAGGAAGTGAAAGCCATAAACATCAATGGTTAAATGTGAGTGAAACAGATATTGAAATTGAACTTTTCTTGACAGTCATCACTCTTCCTCTCTCCGTCGACCAGAAAAATTACATGTATTGAATTAGAAGAGGGTGAGATCATCAGTCGGCTTTGTTGTTACACTCAGTGTCATGTCCGTCAGTCCAAGAAAGAACAATGTTATATATATATATATGGTTATTCTCTTATCCGGATGTCCGTACGTTATTATCGTGCGGATACTATTGTAAACAGGCAGGGAAGCAGGGAGGGTTAGTACAAAATACATAGCGTCCGCACGATAATAACGTCCGGATATTCACATAAGAGAATTTCTGTATATATATTTTCTGCAATTTTGCATCCTCGCTTATGATTTTAGCTATTTTAAAATTTGAAAAAACAAATCTTTGGTTGGTAAAAAACAGAGGGTTGAATGAAGAAATAATAACAATAAAACACAAGGGTCCGGGTTCGAAATCTGAATGATGCATCAAAGTGAAGTAAGAAAGACTTAAATAAAAGACATGAAAAGAGTGAAAGTGAATGGCCACTGGCCAGTCATCTACATTTCCGCCTAATAAAAAGAATCATAGAAGAAACACAGGAGACATACGGTCTCTTCTCTCTCTCTTTCTTGAGGTTCAGAGTTTAGAGTCGGAGGTGGGAGAAGGAAGTAGTTAGTGAGTGAGTGAGTGAGTGAATTTAGTAATGGCGGAGCCAATAATGGTACCCAGCCTCCCGGGGAATCCAAACCCTAATTACCAGGGCCTACCAACTGCAAGTGTTGATCCTCCTCCTCCTCCTCCTCCTCCTCCGCCTTCATCAGCCACAGGAGGTTCGAGGAGCCCCATCATATTCAGCTTCCCGGAAAGGCCTTCGATTCGACTCACTTCCGAGTTCGACAGCGACACGTCCGTTTTCTTCCACAAGGTCTCGTGCAAGCTGTTTGACAGCCTGGCTAAACTGAAGCTCTCCTTCCACAACAACCACAAGGGCGAGCTCTCTCCGCCCCACTTGGCACTTGTCTCCAAGCACCTCTCCATTAACTACGACTTTGAAGATCAATCTACTCTCCTCAGCGGCTCCGTCGATGTTGGTCCTCGATTGCAACTCCGTGCTACCCATGATCTCAAGGTTACCTATCTCTCTATCTATCTATTTTTCATTTTTTGCTTCTTACCTTTCTTATTAATTTTGCCCTTTTAACTCAACTCTTCAAGTCTCTTCTCTTTCACGTGCAAATTTGTAATCTAATGTAATCTTACACCATATTATCAGTAGGAGCTTGCTTCTGCTGGCCTGGCCCGGCCCGGCCCCATGAGTTGTTGAGCAATATGTAACTAATGTCACTTCATTTCTATTAATAAAACAAATTAATATCTTCGTGTCTATGTCTATGTCTATGTTTTACCCAAGCTTCTTGACATGAGATTGACCAAGCTTCTTCTCTGATGCATGTGATGATATGTACCTTTGGTGAATTTTTTTTATGTGCTTATGTGTTGCCTCTCTGAATGTCATCATGTTTTTAGGCACAACAAGGAGAGGCATCCGCGGTTGCGAAGCTTGCTGAACCTGGCTATGCATTTGAACTCTCTTCTCCTGTACCTTCTGTCGGTTTCGTAAGTACAGTATATCACACTATCCCACGTGTGGACTTTCATCTGGCATTCCATTTACATATTATTTTTGTGTATAATCTTAGCATGTAACTCTAACCAGACGCAAATAAGACATGTCCTTGGAGTTCTACTGCTGTCAGGACTCAATAGTGTCGCAAACTTGTTTCTGTTTTAAAGCGTGCTTCAGCATTCATAACTTGGATTGTTACATTCTGATACTCAATGATAACAAACTTCAAAAATCATTATTTGGATTGCTGAGTTGGTGTAGTTTTTATCTGATGCCATCGCACTGCTTTACAATTTACAAGTAATGCCACTATGTATGAATTACCTAACAGAAAAAGAAAAAAAAAAGAATCCATTATTTAGTAATTTCTTATCTTCCTGTTTCTGCTGCCAGAGTATCCCTTATTTTTCCCCTTGTTTAATTTTTACCGGGGGAAACAGAATTGGAGGATCTGGTTGCACCATATTACATGATAAGTTTTATTACGTTAATTTCGTTCTGGTGCTGCAGCCAAAAGCTACCCTTAAATTCCCCCTTGGTGAAGTTTCTTTGGAGGAAAAAGAAGAAGAGGAGACGAAGAGAATGTTGTCGATCAATGGCATTGTGAAAGGCCAAATTTTGAATGGGTTGTGCACTGCTCATTATGCGGATGAGGATTTGAAGTTGAGGTACTCATACAAGGTAATCATTATATTACTCTGGTTTTGCTTTTTGGATGCTTTTCAATTAAACAAGATGGATGACCGGGTCCCAATAAAAAATGTAGAAAAGATGTATGGCTGGGTTGTGTAAATGTGTAGTCCAGAACATGTTCCCTACGAAAATATTCATCATCCCTGAATAGCTGAATGAATTCATTTTTCATCATGTTGGTGTTTCATCTCTGTGAGTTTTGCTGAGATGTTTGGGTTTTTCACAGGATGAGGAGATGTCTTTTATCCCGACCTTTTCTCTGCCTTCGAATGCATTGTCCTTTGCTTTTAAGCGTCGGTTTAGTCCTTCAGACAAGTTGAGGTTAGAAATCTTTTCTTCTGCCTAATTCAATTTTTTTTCTTTTTTGTTTTGTTTGTTGGATTCGTACTTGACTTGCTTGCTGACAGATGTAAACATGTACCTGGCTATCATGTTATTCTAGTTTTTAGGATAACAGGACCGTATATAAATGTTAGGTCAAGAGCATGAGGTGCTTGGTTTAGTGCTTATAAATCCATTCAGGTTGAGTTGACAAATCTCTATATCATATTTCACTGTGTGAGTAACTGTGTTGTCTGCTTAATATCATCAATTCATGCATAGCATTTGTAAAACTGAAAGTAAATCTTGTCTCCAGTATTTATTCATATAAAGAGTCTCCAATTAATTATTGGTCTAGCATGAATTTTTCTTGAGCTTGAGAGGAGCACTTTTGAGTTTGCCAATTACTACATGTTTCAGTCATCTGTGTCCAGACTGTTGGAAATTTTTTATACTTCATTTTGATGATTTCATCTCCAGCTACTGGTACAATTTTGATTCCAACTACTGGAGTGCGGTATACAAGCACACATATGGCAAGGACTTGAAACTTAAAGCTGGTTATGATTCAGAGGTGCGCCTAGGCTGGGCATCTCTTTGGGTAAGTGCTTATATGAGAAAAGTATTTTAAAGTTTTCTTGTTAAAGAAGGCTTGGCATTGGCACAAAGGAGGCATTGGTGCGCTTGAAAAGGGAATTTGGAAGGAAAACCTGAGGGTATATGTGGGGTCAAACAAGTATTTCACATACACCCACACTAGTATTGACATAATGCTTTGTTAAGTAAATTTGTAAGAAAATTGAGGTTCATAAAAATTAGCTTTTTATGAAGAAATGATAGTATAGTATAGTGATCGTGATCCTGTTTCAGGTTGGAGATGAAGATGGCAAAGCAAGGACAGCCCCAATGAAGATGAAGCTTCAATTCATGCTCCAAGTGCCACAAGATGACATTCGATCATCAACTTTGATGTTCCGGGTTAAAAAGAGATGGGACATATAGTCTCTGGTTGGTTGTGGGATCATGGGATCATGCTATCCTTTTATACACTTTCAACTCGGGTTCTAATGCTTATTGCTGTATAATGGCATCAATTGTTTTGTATTTGACCAGTTGAAAAAATATTTTGATATTTAGCAGGTGACAAGCAAGCAGTCCAAACGGAAACATATTAAACCACACAAAGAAGTCGTTTCTCTGAAATGAAACAAAAATAAAGAAAATGCGGTCCTCCCTCCTCCTGAATTCCACTGCTCCTTCCTTGCCTCCAAACTAGTTGGTTGTGGCTACTAATTTTTTCCCAAAAGAAAAATATGCCTTGGATTTAGTCTGCATTTGATTTACGTACGAATAAAATTTGAGAGGTGAGAAGTGAGGTTGCTGGATCAGATACTAAAGAACAAAAAGCTGTGGGAGGGAGGGATGAAAGCAAGTAGCTTTCTATATTTTTTGTCATAAACTGCTTGCTTGTGGTCCCTGTTTGTCTGTTATGCTGTACAAACAGCCAGCTGATGCTGATGCTGATGGCAATGGTATGCGTCGCGTGGTAGATCGATCCAATGTTTCATGAAAATTGAAATCCTAAAGTTTCATGAAATTCTTGTGAGACTCGTCGCATGCCATGCATCATCCCCTTCCCTTCATGACCACATGAAGAAAGCTGCATTTTTAATATTTATTTGTATTGTAAATTGTAAAATGAACTGAAAAATGTAAAATGATTTTGTATTTTCATGTAAACCATATGAATTTATACATTTATTTATACTTTGTAATATAGAGGGGCACTAAGTTTTGAGAAGCGAAAGAGCAAAGTGTCCAACTCTAGTATTGGAAATTGGACGTGAAGGTAGAGACACATTCGTTAGAGTTTCTTTCTTTCTTTCTTTCTTTCTTTCTTTCTTTCTACCCATTGGAATTTGGAATTGGAGCTACCTCTCATTTTATGAACAACATTAGGATTGTTAGAATTTTGTCCCGTTGGACCGGATTGTTAAAGTATTCTCATCTTTAATGGATTGGTGCAAGTATTGTCCTTTAGAAACTTCAGAATACATTTATTAAAAAACAAAAAAGGGCCAAACTTGCTAATCAGAGATTTCATATTCGAATCTCACGGTATCATAGTTGTGTGTGTGAGAAATCTTTATTTCCTCTTCGGAAAAAAAAAGTAAAAGGAAAAACTCATTATACAGTTGGCAGTAAAGTAGATGTCTTTTTTTACCAGTTCAGTTGAGAGCTGTGTGGAGGTCAAAATATGAAGAACAATATATAATAAAAAAAGCCGAAAAGCAAACGAAAAGAGGAAAGGGTAAAGGGTAAAGGGTAAAGGAAGCCCTTTGACAAAATTCTATTCCATTTCACAATTCTATCTTCTATGACTTCTAAATAAAACATATCATATCTGCTCTTATTCAATTCTCTTATTAGATTTTTTTTTTTCTTTTCCAATTGGAGGATATTAAAAGAGAAGAGAAAAGGAGCGCAGAAAGATAGAAGGAAGGAAAAGCTGCCCAGAGCAAAGTTTTGAAAGGCAGGAATGACAGCACCTTTGAGGCTTTTCTTGCCTCTAACCACCATTACTGCCTATTCTTCTTCTTCAGACTTTCCCTCCAAGTCCCTCAAATCCTTTCACTCTGCAAGCCCTAATTTCAAGGTTTCCTACTCTTCCTCTCTCTCATCTCACCACCACACATGTACTGGAAACAAGACACCCATTCGCTCCAAGCGGAAGGTATCTCTCTACATATTTATATGTTCGTATCTATATCATCAACTTTTCTTAATTTTAAGAATTGGGTCTTGTTCATTGAGGTTCTTGTGATGGAAAAGGTAGTATTTTTGGGCTTGGAGATCCTTATCCTTAGTTTTTGGAATGAGCTGGCTATAATGGGACGCTGTTCCTTCATATAGTAATTGAAATTTTCCTTGAAAATTGGGTCTTGTTTGTTTAAGCGCTTCATGGGTTTCTTTATTATCTGAAGAGGCTGCAATGGGATTTGCACTTAGTGTACGTTGAGGTACAGGTTTAAAACAAATGGGTTTAATCTAGATTTTCAATTTTTATTTGTCCTAAACCCGTTTAATTTCTTGTAAAACTCAGGCGTGTATCTTCCATGATCGCAGTTGTAGTTTAGTTTCGTTACTGTATGGTTTATGAATTAACATGGAAAATGTTAGCATAAGGTTCGTGAATTTGTCCATCGGTTGTTCATATGTATGCTTCTTGGGTCTACAGGAGTACAAAAGGTAACTGCTTTGAAGTTGTAGTGCATCTGCATGTGTAGTATTTTTATGATTTCATCTTGAACTGCCCCCACCTAAAACTTTGGGGATCAAACATGTAGCCAGTGCAAGTAGTCATTATATACGGCTTTAAAGAGTTTAGTTGATATTACATGTATCCCGTTTTAGTATCACTTACTGGGACTGATCAACCAGCATCAAGCTCTCTGTAAACTTTTTAGGCAAAAAAACATTTCTTTCACTATGGAAATGCTACAGAGAACAGTTTTTATTATTATTATTATTATTATTATTGTTTCTTTTATACACGTATTAGAAGTCATGCGAGCTTGAACTTGTATGATCACCACTCTTTGTGGGCAGTTGGTTTTCACTAATGATTTACTACCAGGGGATCTGTTTTTTCTGTACTGGTATAGTGGCTCTGCGGACATATGAGAAGAGATCAAGACATAGATAGTCCATCAAATGAAGACAATAAGGGTGCGAGGATGTTCGGTTCTGATGAAGAAGTAGGCACCCAAATCCCAACCCAAGCTCAATCTGTTGTTGAAGGATCAGGAGCAGTTCTGGTATCAGAGTTTAGACCTGTGGCAGATGTTGATTATCTACAGGTGTGTTTATTAATCAATTTGGCTTTCTTTTCACTCCTTTGGTGGATGTTTGGGGTTGGTGTGGGTTCTTTTGTGTGACTTTCCTTTTTACCATTGTCTTAGCCCAGTCAATTTTTTATTAACCTAAGCAAACATTAATTGAACCCAAATTAAACTGGCAAGTATACAAGTATAGGGATGATCTCAACGCATATTGTAAAATTGTTACTCAACTAATTCAACAAAAAAATGACTGTTTGAAATAATCTAAAGTTTAATAAACAAAAATTCAACTGGAGAAACCCCTAACTTGAGTCAGGGTACTTCGCCTTATCCTCAATATCCTTTTGCAGTATTAATTCTCACTTGAGTCGTGTACTGTTAAAACACAAAAGAGACTAATTTGCTCAAATAATAAAATACAAACTAAAATTAGGGTGATTAGATATTTTGTTTTAAATCATGCTTGAGTCGTTTTCCTTTTCTAATTTCAATATAGTTGTCCCTCACCTCTTCACCCCAAGCTTTGTAAAAATCATAGTATGCATTGTCTCCTTTCAAACCAAAAGTTTGGGACCTAAGGATATTATTTTGAGATAAATGTGCAATTAAAACTTGGGGTTTGGTATCTCTGATAATCCTTTTCAAATAAATTTTCTTCTAAGTCCAACAGTCACAGATGTTTGGCAGCAACTTCTGAGTGGCCCATCTCTTACAGATGTTGCATGCCTTTTGTTGTTTGTCTTGTCTCTCATTTGTAATTTTACTTGCAGCTTGAAAGCACAATCAGTCTTCCTACTTTGTGCTACTTCAGATATTTAGAATTTTATTTCTGTAATATTATCTGCAGGAATTATTAGCCATTCAGCAACAAGGGCCCCGAGCAATTGGCTTCTTTGGGACCCGTAATATGGGATTCATGCATCAAGAACTTATCGAGATTCTTAGCTATGCGATGGTTATCACTGTAAGAGCTGTACATTATATTTTCTATCTGGCATTATGAGTACTTAGCTATCAGATGTTCAACAATGCTGAGTCTTTTCAGTTTCTGTTGAATCTGAACGGATCAGTGCTCTTGACTTGTATGTTCCTCAACTCCTGTTTGCAGAAAAATCACATATATACATCAGGGGCATCTGGCACTAATGCAGCTGTTATTAGGGGTGCTCTCAGAGCAGAGAAACCAGAATTACTTACGGTAATCTTGCCTCAAAGCTTGAAGAAGCAACCTCCTGAGAGCCAGGAATTATTGTCTAAAGTAAGAATTTCTTAAAGTGACATTCCTTAAATATTATGCTTTCATCTATTGCAAAATTTTGGTCTTTACTAAAATTTTCTCATAGTATTTACATAATTGTAGTTTTTAATTGCTTTTTGTCTCCTAGTTTTGACTCTCAGTTGAGTTTCGTTCTTCTTTTTGCCTTTTTGGCTTTTCTTAATGCTATTTTTCTAAAATAATTTCTTTAACCACTACAGAAGCGTCTTTAGTAGTTCTCATGCACATCATTCTTGCCCTGTGCATTCCTCTTGGTAAAATTTCATCTATCAAAGAAAAACTATTTATACAAGATCCATGTCTCTTTTGATG